ATACTCTGCTTATAGCTGGGTTTCAAGTGGGTTGTTATTCTTGCTCCTTGTAGTTGCCTCTTTGTAAAGACATTTGATAATGCAGGTGCGTTAGTTCCACCTTGTGACAGAATAATGAACTGCAGCGTGAAAACTGGAGGAAAGTAGGAGGGAGGAGCTCTGACCAATCCCATCCTACAGAGCTTTCTGGAAGTCTGTTTATAAAGGGGACATTGCCAGTGCAGGGATACTGAGGGTCTCCAGACAGAAAGTGAAGTGTATCATTACTGGGAAGAGAAAGCTCTATGTGAGGGTATCAAAGTTTCTATTTTTATGCTTTGAAACTTCTGGATAAATAGCTGAAGACATATAAAAACATAAAAGGTTCCACATCAGTTATGATCTTTGTAACACAGCTTTCCCATTAATATCGATGTTTTTCCAGCAAAATATATTTCTATGATCACATTTTTAATCTTTAACAAAATTTCAGATTTTTCCCCTTTGTGTATTTCTGTGGATGCCCCAGAATTTTATTAGTATCAAAGTATGGGAAATTTAGCTCTTGTTCCAGTTTTTCTATGACAAATAATACTGTAACTGACACCCTGTTAACACTATATATATATATATATATATATATATATATATATATATATATATACACACACACACACACACTTAAGTAAATATATTTGTAAGCATTTCTATTAACATAATGACTTCTAAATGCTGTTACTAATTTATCTTCCTAACATGGAAGCATGAAAGTACCTATTTCTCCACACATAAGAGACAGTGGGAATCATTGCTAATGAGACCAGGGCAAAGGATTGGTAGCTGATTATCAAAGAAAAAGGAAATGGGTAGATAGCACTTCCCCATCAACTGGTTGAGAGGAATAATTGCACTTTCCAACAGAAGCATTTACCCGCCTGGATAACCCTTTTCCTGTCTTTTCAGGTATGGAGAATAGGGAGAGGTACCCCCTGGGTGGCTCTTTTCCTTCCTTTTGGTTAGGCAAGATAGGAGGAGGAGGGGACATGAGAGGAAAGGAAACCTGGAGTCTATAAAAATCTAAGACACCCCCCACTCCTATGGGCACCAGCTCTGGGTCCACAGCTCTTCTCTGGAGGAATCTCTCCTTTCTCCTCTCTCTCTCTCTGTTCTGTATCTTAAATAAAATTTCCTTTCTTCTCTTGCCTTGGCAATTTTCAGGTGTTTAATCTTCAACACTGGTGTAACAAGCCCCTGATCCTGATTTTAAAGACCAGTATCACTAAGTCTGATAGTGAAAGGATCTTACATCCTTGTTGTCAATATCGCTTATTTTTGCTATGTTCTAGAAATCCATCCTGTGGATTTAAAATAATCAGTGGTCATGACACTGTTATTCAGAGTGTTTTCATAGCCCCTATTTTCAACCTTCTGTGTATGGTGTTTTCACAGTACACACTGCTAAAGAACACAGTTCAGGGCAAAGGTCATGTCATTATTTTCAAGATGAGATGAATGTATTCTATTTGAGCCCAGCAAACTGTCTTGAAGAATTCTAATTTGACAACAGAGCTTGGTTTCTATAGGAGCTTGTTTATGCGGGAAGTGTGCTTGTGTGAGTAAATGAGAGCACCTGTGCACTGCACACATGTGGTGACAATAACATGTCCCTAGTCTTCTTTTTTTTCTTTCATGACTTTGCATCCTGGGCTTCCTTCTTACATTCAGGTCCAGAAGGGAATTCTCAGCATGTCATCCTTATAACAAGAGCCTTATCAACATCTTTTATTCCACTCTGCAGATTGACTTCTGAAAGAGAAGGTGTTGATACAAAGGGTGTGCATCTTTGGAGCCCTCTAATGAGTAAGGCTATCCTGACATTCATAAAGGTGGTGCTGCTTAGACTGCCCAAGGCCACAGAGCAGTAAGGAAAGTAACAATCCTGAGAGTCTGTCACCAAGGACAGGCCTTGGTCCCTGTAGTGGACCCACTATCAAACCAGTGCTGCAGGTGGAAGTGATGAGGTGTAAATTGTCTTTTACACAAATGAGCAACCCAAAGGAGCATGGGTGTTGTGGGGGGGAAGTCATTGCTTGGAGTTACACAGAACATGGAGTCATCGGGATAGGATACAGTCACAGTTTTATTCATATTCATGTCTGAGTGTTATTGTGATACAACAGAAGCTCATGGCAATATTGTATTTTTCACAGCTTTCTTTCAATATAATTTGTAAACAAAACAATTACCCATTTACCATTCTAAAGGTACAGCTTAATGGTTTTTAATACATGTATAGAGTTGAGCACCTGAATTTTAGATATTTCCATCTCCCTAAAACGTGGCAACATGCTCAGAGCAGTTAAACCCTGATCCTAACCTCAGCCCAGGGAAAGTCATGTTTGTGTCTCTGGATTTGCCTATTCCAGACATTTCATACAAATGGAACCACCCAATGTTTGGTCTTTTGCATCTGACTTCTTCACCTTTTTTATGGTTGATCTCTATTATAACAAATTAGTATTTCATTCCTTTAATTGATAAAAAAAATACAGTGCTCCATTTTATCTAGTCATCAAGATGGAAACACGTGGGCTATTTCCACTTTTTGGTTGTTGTGCATGATGATGATGCTACATACAATCCTGAGCCAGTTTATACGTAGATATATGTTTTCACTTATCTTGGGTGTGCACCTAGGAGTGTAATGATGACACATATGATAACTCCTAGATTAATGGTGAGAAGAAATGCAAGACTGTTTCCATGACCTTGGCAGCCTTGAGGAGCACTGGCTTAGCCTTTTATTTTCTCCAAATTAGACCAAGGTCATGGGTTTTAACAGGAAACACCAGAGAATTAAAGTACCTCCTCATCATATTATATCTGGGAGTAAGGATAGCCATGTGAATCACTGGAGATGCTAATATTCATCACTTGTTTAAGGTGATGTTTGCCAAGGTTCTCCAGTGGACAGTGACTGTGTTCCATCTGCTTACTGTCATCTTTGCAAGTGAGTCACTAAGTCAATTCTTCCCTCAGGGGTTGGGATCAGAATTAATTTTCACATCATGGAAGGCAGGTAGTAGCATATGTTATGTGGAATTATCAGATGGAGATAATTTGTCTCAATCTATTCCTTTATTTATTCAGCCATTTGTTTATATCACTTTGGATTTATGCACTCTTATTATATAGGTTGTGTCATTTCATTTAAAGCAAGTTCCAGCATCCTGATTTTTGTGGGACAGCATCGAATGTGAGTTTCTAGGGAGATCAGAGCACCCAGATTCCTGGCAGCTGCATGATACAGAGCTTTAGTGAGATTCTAGGCACGACTACTGAGCAGGTATTAAAAACAGTTTCCCAGATTTACATAAACATTTCCAACTTCCTATAACCCAATCTAAACTGTAGATTTAATAGCAAATTACTTAAAGATTAAGATTAGAGGAAATACAATAGTTTGGTTATATTAGTTTAAACACTAATCATCTGGGGGCTGTGGTTATAGGTTATAGCTCAGTGGTACAGCACTTGCCTAGCACATGTGGGACATTTGTTTCATCACATAGAAAAAAAATGAAGAAAATGAAGGTATTTTGTCCATCTGCAACTAAAAAACTAATCATCTGTTCTAGGTGAAACACCTGTTATTCTGATTCAACCTCTGTTTCTCTGCCATCATTAAGCCCTGTGGCCCATCATTGACATGAAGTCATTGGGGATATTAAACTTTTCATCTTTTATTATCTCCCCATAAGGAGGCTTTTAAAACATTTTCCCCTCACCCACTTTCTGCCCAGAATATAAATGTTGATATCATGGATGAAATGTTAAATGTGTGCTGTAGTTCTTTGTAGTGTCACAAACCATTATGATATGTACCATCCCTCTATCCCTGAGAACCAGTTTGAAGCCTCTTGTGGGCAATATTGTCCCTGTTGAGAATGCATGTAACATTGAAATCAGAGCAAAATACGGAACCCTTACTTGAGATGTGGTGCTGGAATCCTTCCTTAGTTTTTGTCAGTCTGAACATGGTCATCTGTTTAAAGGGAGTCACCATGCCCTCCTTATATATTTGTAATGGTCAAAGAGAAATTCTATTCACAGTGTATGGTATAGAGTTAGATTTCAACCAGCGTTTGTCTTGGCAGAAATTTCTCCTCTCCCAGATAAATGATGAAAGTTACTTAAACCAAAGAGCACAGCTGCTCTGGAGGTCACCACCTGGATGTAGCAGAAAGAAGCAACACATCCCCCCATTACATTATGAATCAAGATTTGGGGCTTCTCAGTGTTACAGGAGGGCTTTGCTGAGAAAGAGGAAGAGGATTGACTCATTTCATTTCATTCCTCATCATTTTCTGTCGCTTTATTTGATATTCTAATTTGATGTTAGGGAAACAGTTTCCCATATAGTCTCACTGGAAAGGAGAGTGTAGATAAAGAGGACGCGGGAATCCTAAAACCTTGACACTAGCTCCATTACCACCTACAGGACCCTACACTGGAATTTCGTCTGCACCATCAACTTTTTCAAAGAGGGGTTCTTGGAAGAGTACCCACTTGGACGCTGTTATCATTATTTTTCAATTTCAGACAGAGGCTCACTAAGTTGCTAGGAGCTTTCTAAGGTGCTGAGGCTGCCTTTGAATTTGGGGATCCTCCTTCCACCTCCCCAGTAGCTGAGATCTTAGTAACAGCCACGTGCTTAGTCCCAACAACTGGGCAGAGCGCTCCCGATTACCAGCATCCTCACGTGCTTTCTCTAATTAGCATGTTTCTCAGGTGCCCAGAAGGGTAAAGGCATATTGTTTTAAAGGAGAAACCGGGGGACAGACGGGAAGACTGCGCAAAGCATTTCGGATTTTAGGAACAGCCTGCGCACCACTATTGCCATAGAAACCTGATGTCATTATGGCGACTTTGGTGACTGACGACATTCTAAAAGAGGCCGACTTGCTCGGGTTCGAGAGCAGGGCGCCTCCTTCAGGAGTTTGGACCCATCTGAGGGTGTGGACAGAGTTCTCCCCATTGCCTGAGTCTCAGCCTAGTTCCTCTAATTAGTGCACTTTCTCAGGTGGTGGCCTGAAGAATGAAGCCGTCCAGCTTCCAGAGAAAGGTTAGGGGATTAATAGGACACCGGCCCAGAGGCATCTCTGTGGCGGGACCAATCCGCATCGTGGTTGCCGTAGAAACCTGACGTCATGAATGAGACTGAGACGCTATTCGAAAGGAGACCGACCTGCTATCCTGAGAAGAGCAGCGTCCAGCCTACAGGTTTTGGTTCTCCGAAGCGGGCGTGGGTTCCTCCTGGTGTGGGCTGAGTCTCCCTGGGGTGTAGGGAGATGAAGGGATCCCTGGCCCAAGTCGCCTCGTTCCCGCTCTGGGACTTGGTCCTTTGCTGACTGGAGAGGGAGAGAGACTTGGGGCCCTCCTGGCCCCAGGCAGCGTGATGTCTTGCTCCAGGGTGGCCTGGACCTCCTTTCCCTGTAAAGGCGGGGCGCGGGAGGGTAAGACAGGGAAGCGCCCTCCCCTCAGCTTCTCTGTAAAATGGGGGCAAGAATGCTTAACCACGGGATTGGCAGAACTTTCGAGGATACCATACGTATAAGCCCCATTGCTCTGTGGTTATTGTGGGATCACGAATGCTCATTTCAGTGCCTAGCATGGTCCACAGATATAGTTATTCCAATAAAGCATAGTCATTTCTGGATTCTTTCTCCCCCTGGGCAGCTCTTCCTCTGGTGACTGAGCTCATATTAAGTGTCTGAAGAAGACAGTTTCTGAAGATGTGTGTCATAATGGCTGCTGAAGCTTCTATTCCAGATCTGAAGAGCAAGCAATGCTCAGGAGGCCCCCCAACACTTCCATCTCTGGTAATAACACCTGTCTTAAATGATTTCATAGATCTGAACAAGAGTACATGGCGAAATAGCACACATGAGGTTCACAAAATAGCCATAAGGTAGAGAAGCTATTTTAATCTCTTCCTTGAAGAGGTTCAGCAGGTAGAATTTGCCTTCAGCAAGTACTATGCTTTATAGTAATAGTTGAGACCCATCTTTGAAATGCCTTTCCTTGTCGTAAAGTAATGGCTAGTTTAGCTAAGGAACATGCTGTTTAACACACATTTAAATGTATTCTCTATTAATGATAATCAACAAATCTCATGGACCTCTCATGTGAGTGTGGAAATATGTAGTTGACTGCAAGAAAGATCCTTCTAGGAATTTGAAATTGTAACATGAATACTTCCCGGGTAGCTACAGTTTTATCCACTGTCTAAATATTATTTTTAAGCCTGAAATGTTTAAAGAGTTAGCTTAAAATGTTCCTTATAAGAATTTAATGATTTTAAAATAACAATTCCTTGTGTATTTGCCTTAATATAGTGATACCTAGTATGTGAATATGGTCATCTTTTTAAAGGGAGTCACTATGTCAAATTACCAGGTGCTCTTAAATCATTATATCCCAGAAAATCACATTTTCAGAATATCCTCCCCTCACCAAGCAATCACTTATCTTGTTAACAGATCAGTTTTGATTTCTTATAATTTCATTTAAATATAATCATTTAAATAGAATTGTACTCCTATGATCTGGCTTGTTTTATTCAGCTTACAGATTTGCTTTAGTTTTTAAAATTATTTTAGCCATGAATATATGAAACAGCAGAAGCATTATTTCTCAATACTTAGGACAGGATTTTTTGAGTATTCAACACATACTATCCACTGGAGGAAGACTTGTAAGGGAAATGGAGATTGCCAGTTCTTTTGTGAAGCACCTAAATATCCATTTTATATACACTGAAAGAAAAGTATTTAATAAGTTTATCTACAAATGTAGGAATATAATACTTTACAAATAAATATAACAATTTGGATTTATTAAAACTTTCCCCAAATAGGATAATCTATAGACAGAATGAATTTGTCCCCTCCTCCTGAATTGATATGTTGAATCCCTACTGCCCAGTGTGGTATTATTTGGACGTATGACCTTAACAGGGTAATTAGGTTTAAATGAGGTCATGAGGGTAGCCTTATAAGAACAGAAATGTGAAACATCTCTCTCAGCCACGTGAGGATGCTGCAAGAAGATAGTCTATGCAGACTAGGACAAGGGCCTCTGGTAGATAAAAAATGCTGCCTACACCTTAATCTCCAACCATCCCATCTCCAGAACAATTAGAAATGAATATTTGTTATTTAAGCCAACCAGTTATGGTATTCTGTAATAGGAGTCCTGACTAACTAAGGAACAATTGCAATATTACTATTTTTCCCTGTTGTAAAGTGAGCTTTTGGGTTTTGATGGTGATAAAAATGAAACCATAGCATTGACTTGGGTCCTCGATTGTTTTTGTTGTGTGTGTACCTACATATTTAGTACCAAGAATAAGAAAATGTGAGTAAGTTAATAGGAATCACATGAATATATGTATTTTGGTAATTAAAAAAGAGGTATTCTGGGGCTGGGGTTATAGCTCAGCAGTAGAGTACTTGCCTCGCATATGTGAGGCACTGTGTTTGATCCTCAGCACCACATAAATATAAATAAAATAAAAAAGTAAAGATACTGCCTCCATCTTTAAATAAAACTTAAAGAGGTATTCCATGTAACATAAACCTTTACATATAATTTCTTTCATTCTAATTACTAACAATACAAATTTGTATCCTACTTACTAAAGAATTTAATAAATAGATCATTCTGTATAGAATTAGTGGTAGTGGTCTCCAGCAGAAATTTTTGCTCTCTATTGCAGATACAGTTTTCAGATTTTAGGGAGTGGTTAGAATTCACAACAATATATTTTTTAAAATATTTTTTAGTTGTAGATGGACATAGTACCTTTTTAAAAATATTTTTTTAGTTGTAGTTAGATACAATACCTTTATTTTATCTATTTATTTTTATGTGGTGTTGTGGATTGAACCCTCACATGTGCTAAGTGAGCACTCTACTACTGAGCCCCAGCCCCAGACACAGTACCTTTCATTTATTTATTTATTTTTATGTGGTGCTGAGGATTGAACCTAATGGCTAGTCAAGAACTCTACCACTGAACCATGACTCCAGCCCCACAAAACAGTATAATTTACAACCTGAATTTGTTGCATCATACTCGGCTTGCATTGGAAAAAACAATACTTTTTTACCCAGTTTCCTGTGATTCCAGGAAAATGGTACAATGAGGGGATTTTATGCTCGGAGTTTGTTCACATCTTGGCTACTATCACCACTTCCTTCAGTTTTTACATGCTTTAAGAATTGAGAGAAAATACATATAACATAAAATTCATCATTTTAACCATTTTAAAATGTACAATCACCATTTTGTACAATCATCACCACAATATGAATTTGTTATGGCCCCGGATGTGGTCTGTCTCAGTGAATGTTCCTTGTGAACTTGAGAAGAATGTGTATTCTGCTATTTTTGGATAAAGTATAGGTGGTTTTCAATTTATGATGGAGTTGTATCACAGTAACCATTCATAAGTTGAAAATATCAGAAGTCAAAGATGCATTTAATATACCTAAATTACTGATCATAATATTGTCTAGCTATTTTTTTTTTTTTTTGGTATGGAGGATTATACCAAGTGGTGCTTAATGACTGAACTAGATCCCAAACACCTTTTATTTTTTATTTTGAGACAGGTTTTTTTCCTAAGTTGCTTAGGGTCTTGCTAAGTTTCTGAGGCTGGTCTCAACTTCCAATTCTCCTGCCTCAGCCTCTCTAGTCACTGGGTTTACACACATGCACCACCATTCCTGGCTTTGTCTAGCTATCTTAAAAGTATGCAGTGCACTTATATTAGCCTACAGTTCCACAAACCATTGAATATCGAACTGTTTTTATAATAAGGTATTTAATACCTCATGTAATTTAATGAATACTATACTGAAAGTTAAAAAAAACAAAACAATGGTATGGGTATGCTTTTGGACCATCAGCTGGTCAGTTCAGAGGTCAAACCATTATAATTTAAGAACCATCTGAATTCTACAGGTAGATATCAATGATAGCCAGTCAGTTGGTGGTGCTGTTGAATTCTACTATGATCTTACCAATCTTCTATCTGTTGGGTCTGTGCATTTCTGATAATGACAGTGTGGTTGATGACAGGGACATTCTTTTTTCCACTAAGCTGGGCAAGAGTTCTTCCCATTGACCGAGTCTAAGCCTAGTTCCTCTAATTAGTAGACTTTCTTAGCTGCCTGAAGAGTAAAAGTGTTTTGCTGTCAGAAAATGGCAGGAGACAAAGAGGAGGACCGAGCAAAGGCATTTCTGGTGCTGAGGACCAACCAACCTGGGAATCACAGTTTCCGTAGAAAACTTATGTCATTGTGGCAATCATGGTGAGAGTGCTGACATTTTAAAGGAAACCGACTTGCTCTGGTGAAAAGAACAGTGTCCTGCCCATTGGTTCTTGGAGTCAGGTCTAGGGTGTGGGGAGATAAAGGGATCTCGACCTAATTCACCTTGTTCCTGTGACCCACTTATTTGAAAGAGATGTAGGGACCCTTCTGGCCGCAGTCAGCATGATGTCCTGTATGGTTACTGACCGATCATAAATGTCTGTATGAGTTTAGGCCACTTCTTATTCCTTTTTGAATTTTACTTAGAGGATCAGAGATGAGAAAAAGTGAAGGAAAAGGTCCTGGTAAAAAGCCCACTGTACCTTCTAGTTGTTACAATCACTACCTAGTTGTACCCGTGACATTGGTCACTGAGTCAGTGCTTCCTTCCGGTGGTTTTGGAACTTGGTGCTTTATTGTTTGGTAAGGGAAGGAGATGTGGGGCTAGTGACTGTGGTGTCCTGTATCTATTTTCCATGTAAAAGTGGGATTGCTGGGACCCTCAGTAATAACACCTAATTATATAATAGTGATCCCAAGACTCTCTCAGATTGAGATTGAACTATGGATAGTCTTCCTTGCAATTGAGATTGTAATGTGACCATGTATTCTTTCATGGTCACCACGTTTTTGTCCATTGGTACTTGAGATTTAACCCAAGGGCACCTTATCACTGAGCCACATCCCCAGCCATTTTTAGTTATTTTATTTTGAGACAGGGTCTCACTAAGTTGCATAGGACCTCACTAAGTTATGGAGGCTGGCTTGGAACTTGTAATCCTCCTGTCTGAACTACCTGAGTCTTTGGGAGTACAGGTGTCTGCCACCCCACCAGGTCTATATTGAGTTTTTAAAAGAAGTCAGGAAGTTATAAAGTGTTAGTTAAAATGTCACATATAAGAATTCGCTATTTTCAAAAATAATACTATATATTTGCTCTCTTATAATAATGCCACCTATGGTCACTTAAGTAACCAGGTAGACCTCAATATTATTCTTATTATTTTCCAAGACATAACATTTTCAGTTCTGTAGTAGCTAGCTTTCATACCACACTAATGCCCTATGTCCAGGCAAACACAGCACTTCTGTTGCTATAGATTAGGTTTCATGTCCAAGAAATTTATTTAAATGTAATCATAGAGGTGTTTGTGTTTTTTGATTTGGCTTCTTTCATTCATGCTGTTTATTTGTAGATTCATCCATTTTATTGTATTTATCAATAGTTCATTATCAACTCAATTTTTTTTGTACTGGTGGGGATTGAATCAGGGTCTTGTGTTTGTTAGGCAAGTGCTCCATCTCTGAGCTATACTCCCAGCCTATTCATTCTTTTTAATTGCCAAATAGTATTCCAGTATGTGGCTATCCCAAAATTTTTTATACATTCCCCTATTGTTGGATATTTGTTTTCCAATTTATGGCTCTTGTAAATAAAATTGCTATCAGCACTTTTGAATAAGTTATTTCATGTTTTCCCCCCCTAGGGCAAATATTTAGGAGTATCTGACTAATCATATTTTAGATATAAGATTAGTATGGTAGGACTGGGGTTGAGCCCTCGCCTAGCATGTGTGGGGCACTGGGTTTGATTGTCAGCACCACATAAAAATAAATAAATAAAATGAAGGTATTGTGTCCAACTACAACTAAAAAAAAAAGAAATTAGCATGGTAAGAAACTGCCAAACTGTCTGTCATGGCTACACCCTTTTCCATGGCCACCAGCAGTGTATGAGAGTTGCATCCTCCACAATCCTATCAGTGCTTGGTATAGTCAGTCTTCTCAATTCTGGCCATCCTCATGGGAATGTACTAATATCTCATTGTAGTTTTCTCTTCCCTTTTCCTAATGATTAATGATGTTGAGATGTTTTTACATACTTGGCACTTGTATATCTTCTTTAGCAGAGTGTCTATTCAAAATTTTTGCCTGTTTCTCTTGTCACAATCCAGACCTGCAATCAGATATGTCTCCAAGGAACCCTGGTTCCTTTTACTAGGACATGATTTTAGAGGATTCAATCTGGGTTGTAGAGTTACTCATGACTATTTGGTTGCTTGATAGTTCTTCTTCTATTCATCACACAGATTTAGTAAATATAATATTTTTAAGAGAATCTGCATCATTGACTTATTATTTTAACCTTAGAATTTTAAAAATGTAAGAAAGTATAATGTTTATATGAGTTTTCTTCTATTTCATAGGTAAGAATAGTATATTGTACATTAGTCCAATAGAGTTTCTACAGAGATGGAAATATTCTGTATCTACATTTGCCCAACACAGTTGTCACTAGCTCTCTGAGGCAGTTGAATAGACAAAATGTGATGAGTATGATTGAGAATTTTTAATTTCATATATATTTAACAACTTAAGTAGCCAGGTGCCTACAAGATATAAGAATTTAGTGTTTTCAAAAATAACAATACCATACAATTTACTCTATTATAGTATCCTGCTATATCTCCTAAAATAACGAGATAGAACTAAATATTATCATTCCCCAGTACACAACATTTTTAGTTCTCTAGAACCTGGTATGCCTACTCCTCCTACGCACTGTCTCTAAGTAGACACACCACATCTTTTACTACAGTGTAGGTTCAATGTACTAAGACTTCAATGAAAAACAATCTCAAAGGTGTTTGATTTGACATTTTCATTCACCCTATTTATTTTGGGATTTATTCATTTTGTTGCATATATCAATGGCTCATTCTTCTTTGTTGCAACATATGATCCATTATATGGCTATAGAATAGTTTGTTTTATCCATTCACCTGTTGTTGGATTCGGGGTTGTTTCCAATGTGGGGTGCTTGTAAATAAAGGTCTTATGATCATTTGTGAATAAATCTTTTCATGAAAATATGATGCTTTCTTTCACTAGTTAAATACTTAGGAGTTCAATATCTGGATCATAACATAGATATAAGATTAACATGGTAAGAAGCTGCCAAACTGCAGTTGTTGTACCAGTTTTTATTACCACTACTAGAATTTACAGCCTTAAACCAAATAGGTGCTATTAAGATGTTTATGGTTTTGTCACAATATATAGAAATGGTGAGTTCAATTATTATCTACAATATAAATAGTAAGTTTGCAAAAGGGTCTACAGTTTTTTATGGTGAACAAAGAGAGAACTGTGGGTGTAGGATGAGCTGTTAAGGAGGTAGGAGGTGAGGATATAGAGTTATTAGATTTTAGGAATAATGAAGAGGAATCTAAAGTAGTTGGCTAGTAGCAGGAGAAAAGAAAGAAAGTGATTTTGGGGAGACAAGTAAGTGGGAAGATAATAGAGTACAAAAAACAAACATAAAAATTAAGAAAAATTTAAAAATGTTAAAACAAGAGATAAAAGAATATACAACACAACTGTCATATACTATTAAGACGTTCCAGTCCTCAGTAGCCTAAATCACAAAAAGTACTTTGATTCACAAATTTTGTGGATGTGAGGGCAGGAGAAGAGAGAGAGAGAGAGAAGAAAAAAGAAAAGAAATTCTTGAAGGAAAATATAAGGATGCTTTTGTTAGAATTCAGTATCTTTCCTGCTTCCCTTCTCATCCAATAGGTGGGGTTTTCTGTTGTTTGCTGGTATCTCCACCCTCAGGATGGTGAAAACATGTGATTATAGTTATTGAATTACATAGGCATTTCCCATGTACATAGGCATGATTCTTCACCCATAAATGTGTTTCTATACCATGAACTTTTTGACTGAGTTTACAGATTTTCTTATTTACGAAACTTTATCACAATCACTTTGTCACACTACTGTTTAATTCTTTTTGTCATTTAAGACATGAAAACCAGGGCAATATGTCAGGCCCTGTTTTCATTCCCAGTACACCACAAATGCCTACACACACATGGGCTTGCACATGCACAAGACGTATCAAACATAATTGAAATGTATGTTAGAAGTTGAAATTATTTTGTATCTCCCTTCATTCCCTATCTTTTCATCATCCTGAATAAGAAAAGAATGTCCATCAATTTATTCATGCCCATTCTCAAGATTTTCTCAGTTTGTAATAAAATAACTTGTATTTAATCACATGTACATATCCATAAACCTATGTTCATAAACGTATTCTTTTCTATAATGGGACCCTGTTTGACATTACATTTTTTGACTTGCCTGATTGACTGTTTCTTTTTGGTGTGTTGGTAAGTATTTGGGATTTCATTTTGTTTTCATGTGGATTATTTAAGAATATTCCACACATCAAGAACAAAAACACATGATTGAATATAGGTTAGAAATAGTTTAGTTTCTCCCATTTTCATACTGTTTTATACTTTACCTATATTTTGTAATTATAGTTAATATTTTAAAAGTCTTTCAGCACATGGTCTTCAAAAGAACAGCCAAATTCCAGTGAATACCAATGCCTCATATATCAAATGTCTATGTCAGCTCAGATTTCAAAGGTGAAAAAGTTTAGTCTTTTAATGATTTCAGATTTTGAGTCCTGGAACATTTATTTTAAGGTTGCTTCCTTAGGTCAGCAAGTTTTAAGTCAAGTTACCTAACTTTTTATTTCTGTTGCCTGATTCAAGTAATGGGGATAATTACTAATCCTGGCTAGAATTACTAGTATTAAAATGAGATTCAGTCTTCTTTTCCAAATGCCAACAGCTTATGCAGCTTCCTGGTTCAGTTCAGTATGTCAGAAATGAGAAAACCCATGTGGCACCCACACCCAGGCCTCTTGACCACAGGGCAGGAATTCATCTTCACCATCATCTTCATTAATAAAAGGAGGGTGATAATCAAGAGGGCATGATATGGGCCTCTACCCGGAGTAGCACCCGCGGCGGAGCTCTGGACACGTGCGGACACAACATCTTTGTATGTGGTGCTGAGGATCGAACCTGGGCTGCACGCATGCCAGGTGAGCGCGCTGCCGTTTGAGCCACATCCCCAGCCCAATCCTAGATCTCTTCCTGAAAGAGTGGCCAGCTATGGACTTAAGGCAGATATGACCCCTGGGGTGCATGGTCACCAGACACTGGATCTTGCAAGACTTGCCATTAGAGCCTCACTTTTGTACCTCCTGTCTCTGAGTCCATTCTTTGGCATTGGGCAGCAGATACTTTAACCTGAATGAGAATGAGAAACCTGTCTTCATCAGGACCTCAGACATCTAACAGCTTTGTGCACACCAAGACAAGTAATGTATATAGTCCTTTTTGTTATATATTTCAGCTCAGATGGGTGGAAGAGCTTAAAATTATGGAGGGAATTGGGGTTGTGGCTCAGTGGTAGAGTACTTGCCTACTATGTGTGAGGCACTGGGTAGAGACAAATGCTTAAAATCCAACTGTCATTTTTTTAGAGCTGTGCTGTACAATACATATGGCTAGTTAAGTTGTAAAAATGAAATAAACCAGTTTTTCAATCTCAAAAAAAAAAAAAAGAGGGCATGATATAACTTAGCCTTCATATTGAGTGAGTTTCTCACTGTCAGCCCTGAAACACTAGAAAACTGTTATCTACATGAGGTCAGCTTGTTGGGCTCAGTAGAAGGTGAAGGGTTGATGTTCCACCTTGGAAATGGGCATATCTTCTGTGAATCTGAGCTTGTTAGTCTGTCAAATGGGTCCAAGAGTGCTTTCTTCACAGACTTACTGTAATAAGAAAAAGAAAAAGAAAGCCCCACAGAATGTCTGGTATGTGGTGGGATCTTGATATATATGTCACTGCCAGCCCACTCTGTTTCCTCTGTCCCATAACATAGAAGATTTGAGGCAGCATCTGGGAATGTACCCAAAAGAAGTATTGGTCCCACCTCATCATTTCCTTTCTTCCCTGTGTTTTCCTCTCTTCTTACTTTCCATCCAGTTGGACACAAATGTGGCAGTTTCCTACTGCACTTCTGAAATAGTCCAGTAGAATGAACAGTAAGGCATTGGCTAAATGACAATGGGAGTCATCAAATCTGCATCCCTATACTACAACATCAGTGGAGCACAGAACCTTCTTTGGTGAGTCTTTTTTCTTTGTTGGCATCTAGTGTAACATAGAAGGGCAATAAATATGGAAACAGTGGTTGGGCATGTGTTTGGAGATAAGAAGGACCAGAATTTGATCCTGGCAACCATTACATGCTAGTGAGAATGTGGGGAAAATGTTTGCCCTATATGCTAGGATATCTCGCATTCATTTATATATCCATGGGTAATTGGTGCCCTGTAAAGTGGTGAATGCCTGTGTGCCCAGCTCTTTATAGTAGCATCATCAATAAATTCCCTGTACCATTGCCTTGTTTTAAATATTGTTTTTAGTTATCAATGAATCTTTTGTTTTATTTATTTATATGTGACACTGAGGATCAAACCCAGGTCCTCACACATGCTAAGCAAGCACTCTACCACTGAGCCCCAACTCCAGCACTACCACTACCTTTTGTAATTGCCATGTCTGGTCTTGAACTTGTGATCCTCCTGCCTCTGTCCCTGCTAAGTCCCTCTTGGCTTAATATGGAATTTAAATGCCTTTTTTAAGGTATATATTTTGAAAATCAGCACTTTTGAATTTTACTTCAATAGGCAATCTGAAAGTCTTTTTCTTTTAATAGGTAAATTATATCAACTTAATATTTTTATATGGTCGATATATTTGGTCATTTTGGCTCTATTCTATCCTATTGTTTATACACACATAAAAACAATACTGAATTTTACTATGACTTTTAGTAGATCATCTATTTTATTTTGTGGTACCATGGACAGAACCCAGGCCCTCATGTATGCTAAGCATGTGCTTTACCACTGAGCTATAGCACACAGTCCCAGCTCATCTATTTTTTTTTTCTCTTTGCTTTAATGAGGTACTAAAAAAGTATTGTTCATTTTAGGGGATACTTTAAATTTTGTGGTACTGAGTATTAAATCTAGTATCTTACACATGCCAGCAAAGTGCTCTACAACTAAGCCACAAGCCCACCCCAATCTTAACAAAACTGCTTAATATTCTGATTATGGAAAATAACTATTAGTAATGAATAGAGAGAAGGCCAAAGAAAACAACATATAATTTCAATAAAAGGTAATATATGTACATATTAAATTTTCAAAAATATGTCAATTTGCCGTAACTTTTCAAATACAAATTTATGTCATTGGTGATCAGGCTGAGTTAAATAATCAAGTGCTTAAAATATGATCTTTTCATTTTTTAAAATATCATGTGAATGAACACATTTTGTATTTTTCATATATATATATATATATATATATTTATATTTATATTTATATATAACTAATAGATCCCCATTCCTGTTTCTGCTTAGACATTTTTGTAACCACCTTATATTATCATGTAACTCTTTGGGAGCTAGAACTGGGCCAAGTGTTAAGTGGGCACCTTGATTCATACCTCATGGAGCTATTGTGAGGAGAACGTGAGCAATGAGTATCTCTGGGGACAGTCCCTAACCCACAGTACTGCACCAAATGTATGTATTGGCATACATCATCTTCTTTCTACAAACAACAAGACTTTACCATGGACAGCTCCAGTATATCAATTTGACACCAAGCAGCAAGAAATTAAATATTTACATATTTATATGATGGAAGAACTATGCTTTCTCTTTGTAGAACAAATTACCTGATCATGGAGTAGAGGTAAAAGCAAATCATTCCCTCATTACTTTGTATTCAATATCCTTTCTTATAGTCTTCTTTTGCCTGCTATTTTCCCATTGGAATAACAGCCTCCCATGGAGTCCTGGATAGGAGACAGAATAGAACAACAGAGTGTGAAGGTGCCTCTACTGGACAAGAGACTGAAATCAGGAGGCCTGTTCATAAATACCAAATGCATCCTTGTATACAAGGCCAGAGAGTTATTTCCCGTATACTGGCCTCAGCCCTTACACAGAAAAAAATATGTTTTTCAGTGTTTTGGGAATGGGATTCATAATCATATAGAGTGAGAAGAAGATTTTGCATATTTAATTATCAGATTCAGAATTTTTAGCAAATATTTAGTCTCCAGAGAGATGAAATTTATATATAGTCCTACACAGTAAATACATCTGCAAGGATAATAAATGGGAGGAAATGCATACAATGATGTATTTTTCAAAATTAATGAGTAATCAGGTTGTTGATTAATTATTTATATCTGGAATTGGCTATGTTTTCAACAAACTTAAATTAATATGGAAACTTTAAAAATCAGAATTAAAGTTTGTGGAAATAATAGTTGTTTGGAACTATTTTAGGTACACAAAAATTTTAGAGTATAACAAACTCTTACATCCTCATGTTAACATATAAAGTATTACATGTGCAGCTGAAATACATGGTGGAATGTCCTCTGGGTATGTTATCCTCTTTCTTGCCCAGAATTAGGCCCTCTACAGCATTGGGGTTTCTTCTTTTCTTTTTTTTTGGAGGGGTACTGGGGATTGAACTCAGGGGCACTCAGCCACTGAGCCACATTCCCAGCCTTATTTTGAATTTTATTTAGAGACAGGGCCCTACTGAGTTGCTAAGCACCTCACCATTGCTGAGACTGGCTTTGAACTCACTATTCTCATGTCTCAGCCTCCAGAACTGCTGGGATAACAGGCATGTACCACCACACCAGCCTAGGGTTTTTCATTTTTAGGAATTTTCTTTGTAGTTTTATTATATATGTATATATCTACAAGTAACTTTCCCGGGTTATATGCTCTAGGGAGCGCTAAAATTCTGCCAAATACACTTTCAATACTATTTATTTCTTCATTTATTTTAATTTGCTTAATAGACAATAGTAATTCTATATGTTCATCAGGTATAATTGTAATATTTTGATAATTTATATATGTAAATAAACATTAAATCAATCCCTTTATTCTCCTGATGTGTCCAAAGATTTAGGGTTTCCCTAGAGCTAACTCACCTGGAACATTGTCTCATTGTGTCCTGCCATGAAACCTCTTCCATTTTTTCAGGCCTAATTTTGTCTTTCTCACTGTGTTCATCTAGGCCTGGCCTATACATCTGGAACTAATCTGGACCATTCCAGTTTAAGTGGCAACTATTGTTTTTGTTTTTTTTTTTTTTTTTTAAATCTGGACACATTATGTGTCCAGATCCAAACCCCATGGTTGCTGTGGGGATGCATTCTATTCAGAACTTGATCTGATTTTACATCACAAATGCATAGCATATGTATATTTTCCTTTCATTATTTTTGCTTGCAGAAGGAAGGTCAAAAGTCCTTTAGTCACCATGTGTTTTGATTACTTCTGAGGCTCTGGGCTAATTGGATCTGCCCTCTGGAAGCTGTGATGCTGAGTGCAAGGAGATTTCATGCTGTCCCTCACTCTGCCACTCCCCTGTTTCAGTCTCTGCTTGCCTAACTAGTGGGTAAACAGATAGCTTCCCACTAAGGCTGATTTAGGAGAATAAGGAAAGACACATGTTGTAAAATTATTTTCATCTCATGACCTTCATTAAAAGTCTGGGAAGTGGAGACATCATCTGCCTGAAAGTAAAATTTGTTTGGGAGACATGCTTGCCCTTTGCCTGAAAGCCTAAATCTGTAATTTGTTTGCAACTGTTCTGTTGGAGCTGTCATTTGGATAAGTGCACACATTATTTCAGAGACCTATTACCTTGTTCCCTTGGCTTACAGCTGTGCCCATTTCTATGTTGCACTACTTTCTATAGGAAAGGCTGGAAATATTGTTCTGATTTTTTCCCACTTCCAAAACCTTGGTGTTTTTGTTGCAGATAAAAGTGGAAAATACACAAAAGGAATAACATCATCAAAAACTCATTAAATTTCTGTTCCTTAGAGACAAACTTTGTTATAGTTTTTTAGAAATTTTATTCTGCAAATGCATCCATATTTAAGAATAGAAATGACATAATATCCTACTTACAGCAACATAAGATAATTTTTTGATGTACATATTATGGAGAGCAATCCATGCCAATCATAAAATGCACATACTAAGAAAAATGACAGTAAAGATACAGCTCACTGGTAGAGTGATTTCCTAGCATCCATTTGGCCCTAGGTTCTATCCATGGTGCTTTATAAAAAGAAATAAAAGCAATACAATTTTTAATGTGACTTTCTCAGTGCTCAACACTGCTGTCAGTTACCCCTTTGACTCTCACCACAACTCACAAGGTGGAACTATTTTAATTCCGCTTCAACATAGAAATGAAGCACAGTGAGGACAGGCTAGTGAGTGTGACTTTTCACTGAACTCAGCAGATCATATCACAGATGCTCCTGTCTTCACAGCATGGGGAACTGGATTTGAGTTTGCTCAGAGGTGTGATGTGGAAAACTCTTATCAGATCATGAAACACCCAAGAATGTAGAAGAACTTCTGTCTCTAAAACTCTGGCTGGGGTTATGGCTCAGTGTTGGAGTGCTTCCCTAGCACGCATGAGACACTGGGTTTGATCCTCAGTACTCCATAAAAATAAATGAAATAAAGATATTGTGTCCATCTACAAATAAAAAAAAACTATTTAAAAAAAAAACATTGAACTCAAGGCCCATCAGAGAGAGATCTGTGTCCTTTGTCTAGCTATCTGTGTTCTCATTAGGAGAAATAATGAGTATCTGGGTTGCCCAATGCCTGCCTTAGTCCTCAGGCTCAGCCAGCCCCTACTGTGGTGTCCCAAGCTTGAGACCTACTCCATGCTGTATTCTTTGGACAGTTTTTCTGAGTTACCCTCAGTCACCTCTGTAAGGATGGCATGGTCAGTCCCATTTCACAAATGACCAAGCCAAGGCTCAAAAAGCCTAAATCACAGTAGCAGGGTTAGAATTCAGTCTTATCCCTTACCCTCCCTAGAAGACACTGGGTGGCCTCTTTGTTAGAAGATGGGCTTCCAGGGCTTGAGACATAGTCAGATTATACTCCCCTGATATTCTCGTCCCTAGAGCTCCACTCTTCAAGCCCACTTAGTGATGGAGACAGAAGAAAGCCTTTTGTGCCGGTAGAAATGGGTTGTAGGGTCACATGAGGTGGCTGATACCTGAAGTAAAGAGCAGGGACAGGCAGAAGCTTAGGTCTTGGGACAGGTGAGTTGAGGGGTGGAAAGTGGTATGTACTGAACTATTTAAATCAATATAACTTATATACAATCTTCTTTAATCATGCTACCCATTATTATAATCATTATTCAGATTAGGGCATTCAATTTAGGGGAGTTGATGTAAATTAGGGAGACATCTTTCTCATTTTCCTGTCAGCAGCCCATTCTAAATTACTCAACATATTTTCCTATTGTTGTCTTCATGATTCCTGCATTTTAAATGATCTAAATTGATAGAAATACCTTTCCATGCTCCTGGTTATTCATTGAAAACAATTTTTTGATTTGTTAAGTTTTAAAGTCACAAATGCTATTATTAAAAATAATAATAAATCTAAATTCTACATTTAAAAACTACACCAAGAAATGTACGAAAATTTGGGGGAAATTATTTACAGCCTGCATTAAGGATATCAGTTAGGATCCATGGTTTCTGAAGTACAGTGACAAAAATTAGTATGTAAATTCAACAGAAAATTCATATAAACCATATTTGAACAATAAACCTTAAAATATGCCAAAATCAGAAGAATTAATTCAAACTTATTTCTTTAAGAACTCAGAGGACATTAACTGTAAAAGGCAAGGTGAAAATGAAGATGATTACTGTGACTTCACTTTTGGAAAATGCTGTTATGTTTGTATGATCATGTACATCTAACCAATGGGGACACATCTACAGAGCATGTACCATTTTATTGACAACAGACCCCTTTGGGTCAAGGGATAGGTGTGAGGCCAGTGAGAGATGTAGTTTAATTAGTGTTAATAAATGCTTCTATGTACTGTTTGAAATTTTGTATTCAAAATTAAAGGTAGGGCTGGTATTGTGGCTCAGTGGTAGAGCATTCCCCTAGCCCGTGTGAGGCCCTGGGTTTGATCCTCAGCACCACATAAAAATAAACAAAAATAAAGGTGTTGTGTCCAACTACAACTAAAAATAAATATTTTTAAAAATAAAGGTAATTGAATAAAAAATGTAAAACAAAACGTGTAAAAGATTGACAAAAGTCAGTGGTACATATATTCCATTCTTTGGAAAAATATTCATTGGATTTAATTTCATAGAGAAAATGAGATAAATAGAGAAATGGGATTGGCTCTGTGTGTGCACCTTAGCTCCTCTATCTCTAATACCTCAAGTAGAGCTCACACTTAACAGCTTTATCTTTAGTTCACACCAGAACTGACATTCAATCTGAGAATGAGATATCCCAGAAAATGTGCTTTATTGTATTCCAGGAAAATCTTGGAGACAGAGGTAAAAAAATATATTCCAAAACAACTCTACAGTTGTGATACAGTCAAGTTCAGAGTCTGCATTCCTCCTTTCCAGCTACTTCACTCTGGCCAAGAGGTGGCATTGACACTATGCCTATGTATATTTTAATGAAAAGGTATATATTTTGTGGATTAATAAATGACCCAAAATGGTTGAATATGATACTTGTTCTGTTTAGGAGCTTCATGTGTATATCAAAGCAGTTCCATTTGCTCTTAACCCCAAATCTACATGTCATTCATTGATTTATCTCTTCCCCTTCAGTGTAAGTGGAGGTGTGTGTACTGCAGAGGGGTCCCTCCCAGAGAATATAGACCTTGCCATCCATTACTCCACCCCTGTACACTTCTCCCAGACCTTCTCCCACCACCTCTTAGTCATCCCCTTTCTAGAACACTGGACAGAGCCCAGACCCTGCTTTAGTGACCCCATCATCTCAGACCCCTCTTGCCTTTCTTTGCCCCTTGCCCACTGGTGACTCCAAGGCACACTGGAGCTACCTGACATTTCATGGTACGGTTTTTACGATATTCTTTCATGGATTCACTTTTTTTAAGAATTAGAATCATTGTGTTTATAGGTTCACAAACTGGGTTTTAAGTGAGTTTTTCTTCTTTTGCTCCTTTCAGCCACCTCTTTGTAAAGACCTTTGATAATGCAGGTGTGTTGGTTCCACCTTGTGACAGAATCTTGAACTGCAACTTGAAAACAGCTGAGCAGGAAAGTGGGAGGGAAGGACTCTGACCAAGTCTATCCTACAAAACTTTCTGGAAGCTTGTGTATAAAAGGGGACATTGCCAGTGTGTAGGTATACTGAGGACATTCGCACAGAAAATGAAGTTTATCATTGGGAAGAGAAAGCTCTATGTGAGATGACCAAATAAATCTTACTTTTACACTTTGAAACTTCTGGATAATTGCTGGAGACATACAAACCAAAAAAGTATTCACAGTAATTACAATCTTTGGAAAGCAGATTTCCCCTTAATTAATATGGGCATCATTCCAGGAGAATATGTTTCTGATTGCATTTTGAATTTTCAACAAAATTTCAGGCTTTTCCCCCCTGATTCGGGTTTTCACTGTGTGGATACATCAAAACTAAATTAGGATCAAAGTAATGAAAATTTAGAACCTTTTATAGTTTTCCAATGACAAATGATAGTGTACCAAACACCCTATTATCACAATATATGTACATACACACACCATGTAATACATATATGCTTATGCAAATATGTTTGTAAGCATTTCTGTTGACCTAAGGACTTCTAAGTGCTCTTACTCATTTATATTCCTAACAGTGAAGCATAAAAGTACCTATGTCTCCACACATGAGAGACAATGGGAATCATTGCTAATGTGATAGTGAAAGGATCTTATATCATTGTCATTCTGACTTGTTTTTGCTACCATCTGGAATTCTATGTATGTAAAATAATATTCACAACCCTGTGTCACTTAGAGTGTTTTAATAGTCCCTGTTGTCAACCCTTTGCCATGTGAGATAAATAGGTTATATTTGAGCCTAGCAAACTGTCTTGTAAAAGTATCATATGATAACAGAGCTTGGTTTCTATAGGAGTATGTGGAATGTGTGTGTGTGTGTGTGTGTGTGTGTGTGTGTGTGTGTGAGAGAGAGAGAGAGAGAGAGAGAGAGAATGAGAGAGTGTGTGTGCCTGAGGAAGTGACACTGGGTATTTGTGCATGCACACATATGGTGACAACCACATTTCTGTATTCTTTTTGCTTCTTCATGGATTTGGATCCTATTTGGCCTCCCTTCCTACATTCAGGTCCAGAAGTGAAGGAAGGGAATTCTCAGCATGGCATCCTTATAACCTGAGCCTTATCAACATCCTTCATTCTATCCTGAAGATCGACTTCTGAAAGAGAAAATGTTGGTACAAAGGGTATGCACCTTTGGAGCCCTCTAATAAGTACTGTCATCCTGACATTCGTAAAGGTGGTGCTTCTTGGACTGCCCAAGGCTACAGAGGAGTAAGAAAAGTAACAATGCTGATAGTTTGTCACAGAGGACAGGCCTTGGACCCTGTAGTGAACCCACTATCAAACCAGTGCTGCAGGTGGAAGTGATGAGGTGTAAATTGGCTTTTATACAGATGAGCAACCCAAGGGAGTATGGGTGGTGGAGGGAGAGGGGACAGTCATTGCTTGGAGTTACACAGAACATAGAGTCATCAGGGTAGGATACAGCCATAGTATTATCAAATAGATGTGCATTAAACAACTTGCGAAGAGCTAAGTTTGAGTGTTATTGTGATACAATGGAATCTCAGAACAATGTAGTATTTTTCAAAGCTTTCTTGCAATATAATTTGGAATAATACAATTACCCATTTACTCATTTTAATATTACAGCTTGATGGTTTCTAGTATATTTATAGAGTTCAGCAACTAAGTTTTAAATATTTCCATAACCCTAAAATGTGGCATCGTGCTCAGAGCAGCTAAATCCTGATCCTAATCTCAGACCCAGGAAACATATGTTTGTGTCACTGGATTTGCCTATTCCATACATTTCACATTATTTGGTCTTTTGCATTTGAATTCTTCACCTGTTTTCATGGTTGATCCCTGGTACATCATTATTTCTTTTATTTAATGAAAAACAGAGTACTCTGTTTTATTTACCCATTCATCAGGAGGGGAAACACATGGGTTATTTCCACTTTTTGGCTGTTGTGCATGATGATGATGCTACATATATTCCTGTTCCAGTTTATATGTAGACATGGGTTTCCATTTATCTTGGGTGTGTACCTGGGAGTGTAATTGATGACACATATGATTACTCCCTGTTTAATTCCTCTATTCCTGGGGGCTATGTGTCTGAGATCAAGGTGGAGAGAGAGGCTTGTGGAAAGCCAGTGGTGGCAGTTGAGGCTCTGAGGGTTTTTCCTGAGAGGCTGTTTTGTTTGGCGTGTGTGGTTCTAAAAATAAAGTTAGTTTCTTTTGACAAGTGGCTCCTGATTGTGCCCAGCCAGACTGCGGCATTTGGTGGCTCGCACGGGGAGCGACTGAGGGTAAGTGAAACTGCTCGCCCCTGAGGGCAGGGCGAGAGGATGGGTAGCCATTTTAAGATTCCTCTTTTATTTTGCTTCACTTTTGTTTTAAGTTGCCTGTCCCTGATGGAAGAAAAACCGCTCACATCTGAGGAAAAACTATTTACGTCTGAGGAACAGATAGGGAGAAAGGACGGATGCACATGTCAGGAGGATAGAAAGGCTATAATGACTTTTTGTTGTTCCCTTTTTATTTCATTCTGTCTCGGTTTTGTTTGGCGTCATCTTGTTGGGTTGTATTATAGTAGAAATACGGGATCAGAAATTAGTAAAACACAAACTGAAAGAGTGTTAAGTAAATTGTTAGAGGAAGGAGGCATCTCAGTAAAATCAAGAACAGTCAGGGCATACGTTGATACAATACAAAAATGTAGCCCATGGCTTTTTAAGGAGGAGTTGTTAAATATATCACAATGGAACCATCATGGTGAAGATTTAAAAAGAATAGAAAAGAAAAGCCCAGGGACTCTGCCAGTTGGCACATTGCCATTGTGGACGTTCATATCTTGTTTGCTTAGTCCAAAGCCTTCAGTTCAGACAATGGTAGAGGAAGGAGAAGACATAATGATTCAAGTAAAAGAGAAGGTCTCTCAAGTTAGTCAGACAGAGGAAAAGATTCAAGTAAAAGAGAAGGCCTCTCAAGCTAGTCAGACAGAGAAAGAAAGTGTAAAACAGAAAAAGCCATCAGGGGGAAAGTTACAACAGGAGACTGCTACTAACACCTTTCTATCACCAGAGGACGTAAGTGTCCAACTAACAAGGCCACCTCCATATGCTGGGAGGTCCCCAACCCCCGCAGTTGATAGTTGGGATCCTGAGACAAGATCTCAAATATTAACATGCCCTGTATTTGAGGCAGGAGGGCAGCGATTTTACCAAGTTTTAAATTTCAAAACAGTGAAGCAGCTAAAAGAGGCTGTAACAACCTATGGTCCTCAAGCACCCTTCACTGTAAGCATGGTCGAATCCATTAACAACTTGAACATGACGCCAGCAGATTGGGCTAATATGTGTAAAGCTGTGCTAAATGGAGGACAATACCTGTTATGGAAGGTTGCCAATGAGGAATTTTGCAAGGAGACGGCTAGGCGAAATGCAGCAGCTGGTTATCCTCAGAGAAATCTAGATATGTTGTTAGGAAAGGGACCTTATGAGGATCAGGAGCAACAAATTGCATATGATCCTGGCGTATATGCACAAATTGCTGTAGATGCAATTAAGGCATGGAAGACTTTACAAGGACATGGAGGTTTACAAGGTCAATTATCTAAGGTAATACAAGGAGCTAATGAACCTTATGCTGAATTTGTAGATAGGCTTATTCAAACAGCTACCAGAGTTTTTGGGAATACAGAACAAGCAATGCCATTACTAAAACACCTGGCTTATGAGCAAGTGAATCGTTGGTGCAGAGATATAATTAGACCATGGAAACATGAAGATTTAAATACATATATTAAGTTATGTAGAGACATTAATGAACAAGAGCAAGTTGTGGCAGCTGCAGTAAAACAGGCTTTAGATGCCAGAGACATTAATGAACAAGGGCAAATTGTGGCAGCTGCAGTAAAACAGGCTTTAGATGCCAGGCCAAGAACATGCTACAATTGTGAACAAACAGGACATTTTAAAAGGAATTGCCCCATTGGAGGAGGGTTTAACAAAACTAGGTATCAAAGGAGTAGAATACCAGGTATTTGCCCACGATGCCGTAGAGGGAGACATTGGGCTAATGAATGCCATTCTCAAACCACCATAGAGGGTACTCCATTATCAAAAAACGAACAAGGACCAGGTGTTTATCCACGATATCGTGGAGAAAGGCATCGGGCTCCATTGCCAAAAAATGGACAGGGGGGCCCAATGCTCCGGGGCCCAAAACCACAAATATACGGAGCACTGGAGGAACCCAGCAACCCCATCAGGGTAGTGCCCAGGACACATTGTCCATCAGATCCCTCATCAGACAAACCAGAGGGAGCACAGGGTTGGACATCTGCGCCTCCGCCAGAGCAGTACTAACTCCAGAGATGGGAGTTCAAATCATTCCCACAGGGGTGAAAGGACCTCTTCCCAAAGGAACAGTAGGCTTATTATTGGGACGCAGATCTTCTACTCTAAAAGGACTTATGATAAGTCCTGGGGTAATTGATCCCGATTATGAAGGTGAAATAAAAATTATAGCCAGTTCTCCAAAGGGTATATCAGTAATTTCACCAGGAGATAGAATAGCACAGTTACTAATAATACCCAGCCTACATGATAAATTTTCCAGTCGTGCTGTAGAAAGAGGTTCCAAGGGATTAGGCTCCACAGGTGTAGATTGGGCTATGTTTTCTTTAAATTTAGATTCTCGCCCCATGCTAAAACTAAATATTCAAGGACATGAATTTAATGGGCTACTGGATACAGGTGCAGACCTTAGCATCATCTCTCCTCAAGAATGGCCAAAACATTGGCCATTACAACAAGCCACTCAAACGCTTCGAGGCCTAGGAGGGGCGACAAATCCCCATAGAAGTGCAATGGTATTAGATTGGAAGGATCCTGAAGGATGTGAAGGAACTATACAGCCATATGTATTGGATCATTTTCCCGTAAATTTATGGGGATGAGATGTCCTAGATCAATTAGGTTTGACATTAACAAATAACATCAACCAAAATGCACCCACTATTATGACTAGACAAGGTTTTAGGAAAGGAAAAAGATTAGAAAAACAAGAACAAGGTATAGCAGCACCAATACAAATAGATCAAGGAACAGACAGACATGGGTTGGATTTTCAGAAAGGGCCACTGAGACAATAAAAATTACTTGGAAATCAGAAAGACCAGTATGGGTTCCTCAGTGGCCCCTGACTAAAGAAAAGATACAAGCAGCCCATGACCTGGTCAAACAACAATTAGTGGAAGGACATATACAACCTTCTGTATCTCCCCATAATACTCCCATTATTGTCATCAAAAAGAAATCTGGTAAATGGAGATTATTGCAAGATTTAAGAGCCATTAATAATGAGATGGTTATTATGGGACCTGCTCAATCGGGGATTCCTCAGTTGTCTGCTTTGCCAAAAACCTGGTATGTTTTAGTTATAGATATTAAAGATTGTTTTTTTTTCAATTCCAATTCATCCTGAGGATAGTCCACGTTTTGCATTTACTATCCCTGCACTGAATCATGAAGGTCCTGATCAGAGATATGAATGGAAAGTACTCCCTCAAGGGATGGCTAACAGCCCAACTATGTGTCAAATTTATGTTAACAAAGTAATCCAGCCACTTAGAAATCAAAATCCTGAACTACAAATATTTCACTATATGGATGATGTATTATTAGCACACAAAGATAAAAACACATTGCTAGAATGTTATGCCACACTTACAAACTTATTAAAAAATTATAATCTAGAGATAGCAATAGATAAAGTACAATTAAATTTTCCAATTAATTATTTAGGAGTTCTATTATCCTCAACCATGGTCCGTCCACCAAAAATTCAAATACGAGTAGA